AAGTCCATTAAGTTTTACACGGCAAGGCAAAGTGGATAGCAGCACATGATTTTGATAGGGGAATCTGGGGCAAAAGTCTTTGTTGGCAAACTATAAGTACATCAGATGGTGTGGACACAGTGACACAGAGGGGCACTAACTGGCCAGATGGGCCAGCAGCCTCTTCTTTGTTTGGTCTTTCCTCAGGGACCTGACTCTCATTCTGTCGCCACTTGTCCTCTTTTTGTAGGTGTGGGGATATTCAGCTTTGCCAGGTATGGCAGCGATTTTTACAGCTTGCGCTATGAAGGCAAAGTGAAGAAGCTCAAGAAAACATCTTCAAGTGACTATTCAATTTTTGACAACTATTATATTCCAGAAATAACTAGTGTTTTACTGCTTCGATCCTGTAAGGTAAGTTGTTAAAAAAAAAATCTGACAGGACCATTTTTTAAAAAAGATCTTTGTTCCCTAAATTGTATAGTATCAGTCCTAAGGCGATATTATAAATGAGTTTGTGTCATTTGTATAATTTTGGTGCATAGTGCTTGACTGAAATGATCAGTAAAACAATTTAAATGGATACCTTCATATTGAAATTTACAATATCAGTGCCAGGTTCTTGTACTAGTTACACGCACCCTTGGCTGTACCCAGGTCCTCTATTAGTGTAATTCCTGAATTCTGGTGTGAGTGGATAACCTGCTTTTTCAAGCTACTGTGATCATTGGGCAAAGCTGCCTTCCCCAGGTGTTTGGAGGACCTCTGCTCTCTGGCCTCTCTGGGAGCATGGGCCTTCCTGCCCTGGGCTCCAGGATACCCTGGACTGTAGTTGTCCTGGCAGTTCCTGATCTCCCCGACTTGGTTTTTTTCAAAAGCCTAGCTCCCCTTTCTCCAGAGCCAGAGAGATAGGCTTTTCCTTTAGCTAGATAAATTCTGCTTTCACCTGTAGTATTTGTTGGTTTGAGAGCTGTGCCTCTTAGAACTACATTCTCAAAGTGTGTTCCATGGGCCCCTGTGTCATTGTCACCTGATGTTCTCATTAGCATGCATATCAAGCCCCCTTTCTGTCAGACCTACTGAAGTCAGCATCTCTAGGGAAAGGACCCTAGAATCTCCATTACAAGTACCCTAGTTTAGATCAAGGTTTCTCAACCAGGGGTGATTTTGCCATCCAGGGAATATTAGCAGTTTCTAGAGACATTTTGGATTCTCACAATCAGGGAGGGAGTTCTGTTGGCATCTAGTGGGTAGAACCAGGGATGCTGCAAAGCATCGTACAGTGCACAGGACAACCTCCCACAACCTGGTATTATCTGTCCAGCATGTCAGCAGTGTTGAGGTTGAGGAAGTGTATAGCAAGAAAAGCAACAAGACATTTGGGAAAATGAGGGATTATTAAGTCTTTGAAGGTCTGGACAGGGTGAAGTTTTGGCAATAATGGTAAGAGAGTTGATTCTTATTTTTCTTGGAAAAGCAAGAAAAAGAAGAGATGCGTAGCTGAATGTGATGGTAGTCTTATAACGCCTCAACGTGATTGTGCTGCAGACTTTAACCCATGAGATTGGACACATATTTGGATTGCGACACTGCCAGTGGCTTGCATGCCTAATGCAAGGCTCCAACCACTTGGAAGAAGCTGACCGGCGCCCTCTAAACCTATGCCCTATCTGTTTGCGCAAGTTGCAGTGTGCTATTGGCTTCAGCATTGTAGAAAGATACAAAGTAAGCTGGGGGCTGGATGGTGTAAATGGGGGGAAGTGGTTATCTCAGTAGCAAACTGACATTTCTATTATATCCTTCACTAGAGCTATAATTTATCAGAGGAAATTAGTGTAAAGATTAGCAGGAAGCTGTGGTTTAAAAAAAAAAAATGCAAAGAAATGCCCTTCTTAAAAACTTCAGTTTGCCTTTGAGTGATTTATGCTAACAATTTGATGAGGAGTAGAGGAAGAAGTTTCTCTACTTCTCTTCCATTTAGGGCAAGAGAGCTTGACTTTGCAGAACAGAATAAATATAGATACGTGTGGCAAAGTTCATTTTTTAAACCCTGTAAGTCTGTGCACAGGATTTATCTTTCCAAATATGGGACAGAGGTATGATGTTCATTAGGAGAAAAAAATGATTTTTTATAAAAAGGAAGAAGGAAAGTACCTAATCTCAGTGTGTGTGGGTGTGTGCCCACACATGCCCACAAACATCAGTATACATTCATGTGGCTACTCATGGGTATGACTGCGTATTCAGGTGACTGCACAGAAATGTCTACACACGTGTTTTCACATGCATATGTCTACCCATGCCTGTGTGTACACTTACATATGTACATATCAAATTAATATAATACCTTGTGGAATACTTAGCAAGTTGAGAAAAAATAATATCCTATCATGCTAGGAAAAAAGGGTAAGAATTAGTGTATTTCTTTTTCCTCTTTTTTCAGGGCATACTTTTGACATAATTTGTAATTCTGTGTGTATTTGGTAGGTGCCCTTTCACTGAGTTTATCAGCATTATTTCATATTCATACCATAATTATCAAATGCAGCATCTCCTTGGGGTAATATGTCACCCCATGATCTAGAGGCCAATATTCTTCTCTTGCCTGATCTATTTTGCCGTGGTTTGTTAGAACGCGCATCTTCTATGTTTTTCCAGGCACTGGTGCAGTGGATTGATGATGAATCTGCTGGCACACCTGGAGCAACTCCAAAACACAGTCCTGAGGATAATGGGAATTTACCGAAACCCGTGGAAGCCTTTAAGGAATGGAAGGAGTGGATAATAAAATGCCTGGCTGTTCTCCAAAAATAAGAACCTTCAAATAGGAGTGATTGAAATAAATTACTACTTGCATGTAATGCTTTCATTTGGGTGGAATACTTCATTGGAATAAACTACTGATCTTATGCTGTGTCAGAGTGACAGAATAGAACCTTCTTTCAGATGCCTGAATTGAAATGAGACTAATTTTGAATAATAAAAACTCTAAAAACTCTTTATCTTCTCATCTTACTAACCTAGTCTGTGGTAGCAAGCTTATTATTTCCATTCTCCAAATATATGTATGTCTCACAGGAAGGCTGGGACTAGTGGTAACGAGTTAAGTGAATAAATAACTCAAAAAATATATGCCCCAAGGGGCCAACCAGCATCATTTCCAGGGGTGATTTCGTTTTTAGAAGAGCTACTCCCCTGTTAGGCCCAGCCAAGTCACATTTTTGGACAGCCATGGGCTCTGACCTTCTCCACCCACAGCGCTCCTCCTCTTCTGTGACCCTTCCTTACTCTCTGGAGCGCATTACCTCCTTTTTTTTCTCTTGCTGGTAGTCACCTTATCCCTGAAAGAATTAACAGCTTGTATCAGTTTTCAGCAGCTTAAAACATGACCTCTCAGGAACATGTGTAAGTGAAAATAACAATGGTGCTTACACAACCACAACACTTTTGGTGGTGGGAGTTCCATTGCAGTTCTCAGCTATAACACAGTTATTTATGAGGGATCTTACAAATAGTTTGTAATGGTATTTATATTTGTGAATATTGTACTTTTTCTATAGATTGAGAGCAAGTTTCAGGTTTATTTCAGTAATAATGTCTTTCTCACCTTCTTACATTGTGAAGTGTTTACTTGCAGGAAAGATTTTAATGCGGTTATCTGCTGGGGTGCTATGAATGCTGATGATGGCTTGCAGGCTGTGAATATCAGCCCCATTGCTGCCAGAGTGGACAGGTGGAAAACCCCAGACGTGACAGACCACCTCTGCCAGGTAGATGTATCTTAGAAATCTAGAAATTACAGTGAATATTTTATGGAACGCCAGTGAGCAGACAGCATTTCCTGCTTTACTATCTTATCTTGAGGGTAAGACTTAAAGTTTTTTGTTTTTTTTTTTTTGCAATTTGAAATCTAGATTATTTCATTGTTTGATGTGTACAGTATGATGTAAGGCACTTTATAGCTGAGTCAGTGGTTTCCCTTGGATTCATTCTCCTACTTGATTAAACCCATTTAAGTCACGTTAGAAAATGGTAGTTTGCTATTCAAATTAATTGGAGAGAATACTTGGTCATTTTGTTACCAAAAAGAGGCTCTGATGGAGCATGGTGTTTTATGGATTCTGTTACAGGGCTGATTTCCTCCTTGAATAATGTACTTGAAAAATTATTGTTCATTTGATTACATTTTCTTTTCTTTTCTTTTCCTATAAGGTAAGCACGGTTTTAGTCCTGTAGGTCAGCTTTCGTCACAAACTCTTGAACTAAGATTTGCCTAGGTGAATAATATTGGGGATGACAGTTGTCTGGAGAAGATATAAGGTCCATTTGTGTCTACTCTGCACTGTGAAATGAGGAAACGAATCATCTAACAAATCGTTCACTCTTGCTAAACATTGAACTAAACATAAATTGTATATAATGCATTTATTCAGCAATCATAAGTGCTGTGTATATCGTATATATTTTTGGACAATTTCTCAGGGTTAAGCTTAAAAATATAATTTGCCTACTGCAACTAAATCTTTGTAGTTTTTCTTTTTTCTTCACTAATGAATGGCTGTCAGTATGAAAATCTTTGTAGTTTTAAAAGATAGTTTTCACTAAATAAATCCAAGCAGATCTTGCTCTGCAAACGCTGAATGAACAAAGTATTGAGCTAATAAAGAGGATTAATAATTTTCTACTGTCTAAATACTCTTAGAAATCAGTGAATTTGGAATGCTGTTCATTTATGTCATAAATCCTGATCGCGGGCACCAGTGGAGTTACTGTCTCTAGTCAAGAGATTTTTCTCAGGCCTCAGGCTTTTCACGGTGAGGGTTAAATAGGAGAATTTGGCGAGGATTACCCATCAGTTCTTGTCCGGCTTGCTTTTTGAAACACACATTCGCCTGATATGAATAGTTTACATTTCAAGCCCTACGAGGGACAGAGGGCTGCGTTGCTCCCCCTTGGGAGCAGGAGTGCTAAAATCGAAGCAGGCAGCTGCGGGACCGCTATAGCGTGCCCTGCGCTCGGGCCCTTCCCGGGCAGGAAGCGCGTCGCTGTTCCTGGCTGCGCCCAGGCGGGTGCGAGCGCTGGGGCCCAGCAGCTGCGAGCCGCCGGCGCGCCACCTGTTTCCGCGCCCGGGGACTTCCCCTGGCGGGGCTCAGCAGTGTGGGGTCGGTCGCTTGGCCTCCCCTGGCGTCAGCGACCCAGAGTAACCTCCTCCACTGCAGCCTGACGTGCGGGCCCGCCTATGTGGAAGAGCCACGTGTGCCGCGCTCTGTGCATGGCCTTGGAAAGTCAGGACCGCGACGGCAGCAGAGCAGTGAGTGGAATCATCTCTCGGGTAGAGCATTCAAAAAGCGCTTCATTGAAGAGTTTGAATCTCAGTCACTTTCTAGATGCTGATATCTAGAGTAGCATTGTCCAATAGAAACATAATACAAGCCACATAGGTAAGCATAATTTTTCTAGTAGTCGTATCAGCAAATGCATAAAGAAGCAGGTGGAGTTAATTTTAATAGTATATTCTATGTAATCCAATGCATCCAAAATACTATTTCAACTTGCAGTCAATATCAATGCTGAATGAGTTATATCCTTTTTTTTTTTTTGGTACGTCTTCAAATTCCCGTGTGTATGTTACGCTTGCAGTACATCTTACTTCCAACTGACCACATTTTCAAGTGCTCAACAGCCCCATGTGGCTTGTGGCTACTGTATTGGACAGTGCAGCTCTAGACCAGAGCCCAACTCTAGTCCACCTGGAAAAGTGTACCCAGGATATTGAGTTACTAGGAGACGAAGGCTTATTTCAGGAAAAGGTCATGCAAGTCTTCTGGTAGTACAGCCAATGCTGTCATTCAAGTTGAAAGGGTGTAGACACTGTAAGGGCCTCTGGCTTCAGTGTTAATTCGTTTCTTTAAAAGCTTGATACTATTCTGTTGCAGATGGTTTTTTAAAATTGCATTTTAGGTTTTGGGGTACATGTGAAGAACATGCAAAATTTTTGCATAGATACACACATGGCAGTGTGATTTGCTGCCTTCCTCCCCATCACCTATACCTGGCATTTCTCCCCATGCTATCTCTCCCCAACTCCCTAACCCCCGCTGTCCCTCCCCAATTTCCCCCCAACAGACCCCGGTGTGTGATGCTCCCATCCCTGTGTCCATGTGTTCTCATTGTTCAACACCCACCTGTGGGTGAGAACATGTGGTGTTTGATTTTCTGTTCTTGTGTCAGTTTGCTGAGAATGATGGTTTCCAGGTTCATCCCTGTCCCTGCAAAGGACATGAACTCATCGTTTTTGATGGCTGCATAATATTCCATGGTGTATATGTGCCACATTTTCCCTGTCCAGTCTATCATCGATGGGCATTTGGGTTGGTTCCAAGTCTTTGCTATTGTAAACAGTGCTACAATGAACATTCGTGTGCATGTGTCCTTATAGGAGAACGATTTATAATCCTTTGGATATATACCCAGTAATGGGATTGCTGGGTCAAATGGAATTTCTATTTCTAGGTCCTTGAAGAATCACCACCACACTGTCTTCCATAATGGTTGAACTAATTTACACTCCATCAACAGTGTAAAAGTGTTCCTATTTCTCCACATCCTCTCCAGCATCTGTTGTTTCCAGATTTTTTAATGATCGCCATTCTAACTGGCGTGAGATGGTATCTCAATGTAGTTTTGATTTGCATTTCTCTGATGACCAGTGATGATGAGCATTTTTCCATATGTTTGTTGGCCCCATGTATGTCTTCTTTTGTAAAGTGTCTGTTCATATCCTTCGCCCACTTTTGAATGGGCTTATTTGTTTTTTTCTTGTAAATCTGTTTTAGTTCTTTGCAGATTCTGGATATTAGCCGTTTGTCAGATGGGTAGATTGCAAAAATTGTTTCCCATTCTGTTGGTTGCCGATTCACTCTAATGATTGTTTCTTTTGCTGTGTAGAAGCTGTGGAGTTTGATTAGGTCCCATTTGTCTATTTTGGCTTTTGTTGTCAATGCTTTTGGTGTTTGGTCATGAAGTCCTTGCCTACGCCTATGTCCTGAATGGTTTTGCCTAGGTTTTCTTCTAGGGTTTTTATGGTGTTAGGTCTTATGTTTAAATCTTTAATCCATCTGGAGTTAATTTTAGTGTAAGGTGTCAGGAAGGGGTCCAGTTTCTGCTTTCTGCATATGGCTAGCCAGTTTTCCCAACACCATTTATTAAACAGGGACTCCTTTCCCCATTTGCAGATGGTTTTTTACCTTCCCCTCTTCGTTTTCAAGGGCCTGGTATTGTCTTCAAATGCATTTCCATGTTTGGAAAGTGGAGTTGCAAAGCATTAATAATGTGGAGATTGTTTAGTCCATTTCATGGAGGAGGATGCCTGCCTGCAGCAGCCAAGTAAACTTGCATGTCATTTAACCAATGGCAAAAATGCGGTCAGATCCCAAGTCTCCCTACTGTTGAGTTATTCGTTGTTTTCACTGTGCTACATGACCTCATTGAAGTAAAATATCACCAGCCAGAACCTAACCACTTTTTCCCCCGATTGTTTACACAAGGGGTTATACACGATTAAACTTTCAATTTCTTTTCTGTTCAAGTGGAGTCATCTGGGGTTGCTCAAAGTTGGAGAAATCAGTCTATGTACTTCTGCCTTAGTACCAAAAAAAGAGAGCTGCAGTATTTATTTATTTTTGAAATAGGGTTTTGCTCTGTTGCCCAAGCTGGAGTGCAGTGGCATGATCACGGCTCACTGCAGCCTCGACCTCCCCAGCTAAAGTGATCTTCCCACCTCAGCCTCCCAAGTAGCTGGGGTTACAGGTATGCACCACCATGCTTGGTGTATTTTTTTAATTTTTATTTTTTTAGAGATGGGGTTTTTCCACATTGCCCAGGCTCGTCTGGAACTCCTGAGCTCAAGTGATCTGCCTGCCTTGGCCTCCCAAAGTGCTGGGATTACTGATATGACTCACCGTGCCTGGCCAAAAGTTGCAATATTTAGTTAGTAAAGCTCTTGCAACTAGTTGAGGCATTGAAATAAAGTATTATGAAAAAAATGTCTACTGGAAAATAGTTCAAACAAAATCTATTGGGGCAATATGTTAATACTCACAGGCCTCCACACTTACTCTAGTATTGATTTCGTCCCACTGTTTTCTTTAGGGTCTGCTCATGGATCAGTTTTTGCTTCTCTACAGCTGAGCCACCCATATAGGACGCTACTACTGGACACTCCGAGACCCATCCCTCCTCAGATGCTGAACCGGTGGGTTCTGAACACAACGTGTTCAGTGTCCTATGGTTATCCAGCTGTTTCATAGCAGCACAGACTCTCTTGAGCTGTAACTGTCAATAGATACCATTCTTTTCTCTTGTGTAACTAAAGGGAAAAAAAAGCCTATAACTCGTTCATTCATTCATGTGTTTTTTCTTTCAACTATTTTCGTAGAGTACCACCTACTGGGTGTCAAGTCCTACTCAAAGCCTTGGGAATATAGCATTGAACAAAGAACTCCTACCCTAAAACACTAGTGGATGAGACAGAGAGTCAAGGAGTAAACAGATGCTTTATTTAATTTATTTAATTTTTTTTTTTTTGAGACGGAGTTTCACTCTTGTTGCCCAGGCTGGAGTGCAATGGCATGATCTCTGCTCACTGCAACCTCTGCCTCCTGGATTCAAGCCATTCTCTTGCCTCAGCCTCCTGAGTACCTTTGATTACAGGTGCCTGCCACCATGCCTGGCTAATTTTTGTATTTTTAGTAGAGATGGGGTTTCACCATGTTGATCTGGATGATCTTGAACTCCTGACCTCATGATCCGCCCACCTCAGCCTCCCAAAGTGCTGGGATTACAGGCAAGAACCACCATACCTGGCCTTATTAATTTTTCTTTTTTAAGACAGAGTCTTAAAAAAGACTCTGTCACCCAGGCTGGAGTACAGTGGTGTGATCTTGGCTCACTGTATCCTCTGCCTACTGGGCTTAAGAGGTCCTCCCACCTCAGCCTCCCAAGTAGCTGGGACTATAGGCACGTGCCACCACACCTGGCTAATTTTTGTATTTTTTGTAGAGAGGGGTTTTACTATGTTGACCATGCTGGTCTCAAACTCCTGGGCTCAAGCAATCTGCCTACCTTATCCTCCCAAAGTGGATGCTGTTATAACCTAATGTCAAAGTAAACAGATAGAAACAAGTACCATTTTGAATAGGATAGACAGGAATGCCTCCTTAGGGACGTGGCATTTGGAAATGATCAAATTGAAGGGTCACCTTGTGTACACATCTCAGGGAAGGGAATACCAAGCAAAGGGAACCACAAATGCTGGTGCCTAAAGCTTGCAATAATAAGAACAATAAGAGAGGTCAGGTGCAGTGGCTCATACCTGTAATCCCAGCACTTTGGGAGGCCAAGGGAGGTGGATCCTGAGAGGTCAGGAGTTCAAGTCCAGCCTGGCCAACATGGCAAAACCTCGTCTCTGCTAAAAATAAAAAAAATTAGCCAGGCATGGTAGTGGGCACCTGTAATCTCAGCTACTGGGGAGGCTGAAGCAGGAGAATCACTTGAACCTGAAGGTGGAGGTTGCAGTGAGCCGAGATTGAGCCATTGCACTCCAGCCTGGGCAACAAGAGCAAAACTGTCTCAAAAAAAAAAAAAAAAAAAAAAAAAAAAAAAAAAAAAAAAAAAAAAAAGCCAGTG